GAGAGAATTAAATTAGTTAAAAATATTTTTCCTGTGCCCCCAGAAGCGTCAAGTAAGATGATACCACCTTGTTGTTTTGCTAGCTGATCTATGATCATTTGTTATGCATTTTTCTGATCTTGATTTAGCTTTCTGTCCGCGAGATATGCACTAAGCTGTTCAATGTTGTAGTTCTTTTCTCGTATGTAATCTGCATGAAGTACATCATGTCAGTCTTGTAGCAGTGCAGGCAGGGCGAGTTGCAGTAATGTTTTATTGATCATGGCCATACATTTGTCCTTAAGAATAATCAAAGCCTTGTTGAAAATGTCCGGACCAAATGTAATTTCTAAAGTTGGATTTTCTCCCTTACCAGAGAGATCCTCCTTGTGGAGTACTGTGAAGCTATTACCATGGCAACTCCACTGTGCTGCACAGTAGAAGCCATTTTAAGGCAGTACAGTAGAAGCCATTTTAAGGCAGTACAGTAGAAGCCATTTTAAAGAACAACAGGCTGTATCTTAACAGAACACACACCCTGAGAGGTGTTAGAGGTGTCTTACCCCCACAGTATTTTTTCCACAGAGTAAAACATCTGTGTACCAAGTTTGGTTGAAATTGCTTGAAGCGTTCTAAAGTTATGCTGGAAGGTACACACACACACAGCCGTTTATATATATATAGATATGGTGCACGTTTCCTTTATGGTATAACAACTGAACTTTCTTCAAAACAATAATTGCTCACTTTCCAACATTATGAAATCGATAACTAGGTGCTTCCCATCTCGCTGTGCAATAAATATTGTCTCCCCGGTTATCAGAAAAGGAAGGATGAAGGGAAAAAATTCTGCTGTTATGATTGTGTTCCATGTCCAGAAGGAAAATTTTCAAATAAGATTGGTATGGTAATAATTTCTCTATTTTTATTGTTACAGAGATGAACCTGAAATATCAGCCATAGAGCCATTACAAAGAAATATACAATATGAGAATTTTTGTGAATATGTTCTGCAGAATGCTAGTTTTAGGTTTATTATTGGAAATTGAATGGGGCAATGAAAATGAAAAAAAAGTTTTAAAAGAAACAAAGAAAGCAAAAATTTAAAAATAAATAAATAGACATGGAATTTATGGAAGCAAATTCTTAATATTTATAAATACGAAATGAACCTTTTACACATTTTTTACACAAAATTTTATTTCCTATGTAGTTTGCACTTGAAATATGTGTGATATATTAATCTTTTGGAATTTCCTCCATGATATAATGTATTGAATTTTAGGGGAAATATTTCAATTTCCTACATATCTTGAAGTGTAGTCTTGAAGTGAATATGAATTTAAACATTCAATTATTCCTTCAGGTATAGAACATAAAGAATAGAATAGAACAGAACAGAACAGAACAGAACAGAACAGAACAGAACAGAACAGAACAGAATAGAATAGAATAGAATAGAATTCTTTATTGGCCAAGTGGTTTTCTTTTTTCTTTTCAATTTCAGACATGGTAGCTTGTGTCCAATGTCCAGAAGATCAGTATACAAACCAAGAAAAATATGGATGTCTCCTGAAAAGGATAAACTTTCTGTCTTATGAAGAACCTTTAGGGTATAGTTTAGCTTGTCTTGCTGCTGTGTTCTCCCTCATTACAACATGGGTCCTGGGAACTTTTATTAAGCACAAAGAAAGCCCTATTGTGAAAGCCAACAACCGGGATCTCACCTACACTCTCCTCATCTCCCTTCTCTTCTGCTTCCTCTGCTCTTTGCTCTTTCTTGGACAACCTGGGAGAGTCACCTGTCTCCTGAGACAGTCTGCATTTGGTCTCATCTTCTCATTGTCCATCTCTTGTGTGTTGGCCAAAACCATCCTTGTTTCTCTTGCCTTCAAGGCCACCAGGCCAGGATCTCGGATGAGGACATGGGTGGGAAAAAGACTAGCTGTTTCTATTGTCCTTCTCTGCTTTCTATTCCAAGCAGGCATCTGTATTGTATGGTTATCAGTTTCTCCCCCGTTCCCAGAGTTAGATGTGCACTCAATCACTGAAGAAATGGTTCTACAATGCAATGAGGGCTCAGTTGTTATGTTTTATTGTGTCCTGAGCTATATGGCCCTCCTTTCATTTGCCAGCTTCATTGTGGCTTTCCAGGCTCGTAAACTGCCCGACAGCTTTAATGAAGCCAAGTTCATCACCTTCAGCATGTTGGCTTTCTGCAGTGTGTGGGTCTCCTTTGTGCCAACCTACCTGAGCACCAGGGGAAAAGCCATGGTGGCTGTGGAGATCTTCTCCATCTTGTGCTCTACTGCTGTGCTCCTAGGCTGCATCTTTTCCCCCAAATGTTACATTATTGTGTTGAGGCCTGATTTAAACAACAAGGAACAATTGATAAAGAGACATTCTTAAATATATTTTCCTCTGTATGCTTTTTAAAATTGGTAGGAGTAAGCCAGAACAAGATTAAAAATTAATTTTTAAGTTATTCATATCAAGGGTTACTTACCATTCTGATTTATTTGTGTCTATGAAATCTGGATGTTCGGGAAAACCTTAAATCAAGTTTAAGCTTTTTCCAAACAATATTCAAGGAATTCACAGATTTAGTGCCTGTGTGTTTGTTGGGTCTAGCGATTTTATGGAAAACCAGATGCCTATTATATACATATAAATTCGAACCATTCCAGGCATCTCTCTCAGACCTGCAAAAAGACCAGCATCAAACGGTTAGTGAATTCAAGTGACTTTTATTTATTAAATGCTGAACAAACTTTATTTGCAAGAATATTATACAAATGACTGGGTCCTTTCTCCAAATATACTTATATATATACTCTCAGATTCGGGTTTTCCCAGATGTGCCAATATGACATCTCAAATAAAATGGAACTTTGAGGAACTGCTAGTCTCGGAGTCTTCGTTTGTTGAGGTTGTTACTTGGAACACTGACAATGTGACACAGTGAAGATAGCAGTTCTGACTCAGCAAATAAACTGCTGCCGCTTTCTTACATGCATCATAAATGTAAAAGGAGAAAGCTTCAATTATATGTGTCGTAGCTTCCCTGGAAGCCAGTTTGGGCAATGAGGAAGAACTGATTCTGGGAACTTCAGAGGAGTTGAGGTTTCTGAGGTGGGAGTGAATGGGCCACAGGAAGTAGAGTGGCCAGGAACCTCGGAGAGGCCATCAGGGGATCTACTGAACCAGCACCTGGCTGGAAAGGAAAGGGAAGAGATGCAGTTGTAGCTGAAGAGCTCAGAGACCCAGTCAGAAACATGGGGTGAACAAGGATTGCATGTGTAGCTAGTCAGCAGGGAAGAGAATGAACTGCCTGAAAAAAGTGCAAGGGAGGTCAGTGAGGCTATTTGTGAGGAGGCAGCCTCGCACCTCCTAATGAGTTACATCAGCACACACCTCCTTAGCTTGATACACAGAGAAATGAAACATTGGAGACAACTGCCCATTTTCCCTGTCATGCATATACTTTGACTTCGTGACTCATATTTTATTGACTCCAGACCTGTGCTTTGTTTGACCGTGTATTTGTACCTCAGACTGCTTTTTGGATGTTGGCCTGGAACCTAAGCTTGACTACTGTGTGTGCACTTTGGACTGTGCCTGTACTTTATACTTCATCTGTGTGAACTTGCAGACTTGTGTCTTTGCCATTGGACTTTGCATCACTGTGTGTAGATGGAGCAGAATTGGACTCAATTGAAATTGTGGTTGGTGTGGGTGGGACCTGGAAAAATTCCACAGTGCCTCAGTAAAGTTCTTAAACTCTTCATGGGTGCGTGTTTGGGGGATTGGAACAGCACAATATGTTTCTGCCTGTTTTCTTCAATATTTCATGTCTCCTCCATTTTTTTTTGGGAAGTGCCAAAAAATGTAGGATTTCACTATTAAACTATCTGTTAGCACTTCAACCTGCATTTACTCTAGTGCTGACATAAGAAGGAGAAGAGGGGGCAGCTGGCAAGAGGACGCTTGACATTTCACCTACTTATTTTCCTTGAAGATAATATCCCCTAGGAGATGAGATGGGAGGGGGGACATTCCTGGGAGCTTAAGTAATAGATATGGGGAGAGTGATTTGGAAGAGGGCCAATGAGACGCAGAAAATTGGGGAACAGAAAGGGAAGGTTTGGGGTCAGGAAGTCAGAGTTGGCTATGCCACGATCGGGGACAGGTTGTCGTGCTTAATAAAATGAAAGATTTCTTCAAAGACTATCTGTTTGGAAATGCAATTTATTTTATTTGAGACGACATTGAAACCTGACACTATCATTAAGTATATCACATATAAACACAAAGAACAGAAAGAAGATAGCACTGATATATATGGTTACAGGTGCCAAGTTGAATATTTGGATGTTTCGGAGAGGGGTGGCATACAAATTGAATGAATGAATGAATGAATGAATGAATAAATAAATAAATAAATAAATAAATAAATAAATAAATAAATAAATAAATCCTTCATTTCATCCTAGATTGCAGGTTGCAAATCTCTTTGATCTGATCTGATTTCTAGTAGGATTGAAACATTTTAGATATCCTCCACCAGAGACTCCCATGTTCTCAGTTATGTCTTTTTCTTGTTCTACAAGAAAAAATGAGAATGGACTTGTTTGCAGAAAATTCAGAACTCATCCTAAGAATAGAATGATTTGATGTAAATATGGACACTCTCCAAAAGCATCTTGGGACATGTTGACATCAGAAGATTATGAATCTCCCTGAAAGTACCAAGTTCTCCTAATGAAATGGAGGACTTGCACAACATCTTGATGAATCCCATTCCTAAAGCTTTTGATTTTTTTCTTTCAGGTAGCAAAGGAAATCAGAATAGAAGGGATTTATGCAAGTATTTAAATTAGACCCACCTTATATATATATATATTGTATATACTGCAGTTTATCCCAATTCCATTCCACAAAATAGCATACCAAAGATGGAAATAATGAAGAAAACATGAGTTTTGGAGCTCTCAATCTTAGCTGTCTCTTGCTTCACTTACCCATTTCATCTGAAATTCTTCCTTCAGGACATTGTGCACAATTGTAGCAACAAATATGTTTCCCCTCTTGAACAACTTTTCTGTACCCCTGATGGCAGCTCTCTACACATCTGGCACAGGGAGGTACCTGAAAGACTCAGGGCAGCTCACAATGCATTTAAAATCATTATAAAAAAACATTTAAGAATTAAAAACATTAAAACTCATTCACACCATTCATGGCCAGATCTCACCGGATCGCAAGAGTGAGATCAACGGCCTCAGGCCTGCCGGAAAAGCCAGGTCTTCAACGCTTTTCGGAGGGCCAATAGGGTGGGGATGGTCCGGACCTCAAGAGGTAACTGGTTCCAGAGAGCTGGAGCAGCCACAGAGAAGGCTCTCCCCCGCAGGCCCGCCAGCCAGCATTTTTTTAACTGATGGGACCCGGAGGAGACCAACTCTGTGGGATCTTACTGGTTGTTGGGAGTTATACGGTAGAAGGCGGTCTCGAAGATACCCTGGCCCTGAGCCATGTAGGGCTTTAAAGGTAATAACCAACACCTTGAATTTTGACCGGATAGGGAGCCAGTGCAGCTCACAGAGAATTGGTGTAATGTGGGTGTACCTAGGTGCACCCACAACAGCTCGCGCGGCTGTGTTCTGGACCAACTGTAGTTTCCGAACACTTTTCAAGGGTAGCCCCATATAGAGCGCATTGCAATAATCTAACCATGAAGTGACAAGGGCATGAGTGACTGTGAGGAGAGCCTCCCGATCCAAGTAGGGTCGCAATTGGTGCACCAGGCGAACCTGTGCAAAGATCCCCCTAGCTACAGCTGTCAGATGTTGCTCTAATCTTACCTGTGAGTCTAGGAGGACACCCAAATTGTGAACCCATTCTGAGGGGGACAATTTCTACCCCCCCCCCCAGAATCGAGGATGGACAATCAACATAGTCTTTAGGAGGCAATACCCACAGCCACTCGGTCTTGTCTGGGTTAAGTCTGAACCTCTTGACTCCCATCCAGACCCCCACAGCCTCCAGGCACCAGCCCATTATGTAGGAAATGTCATCCATTTTCATTGTGTAGGACTGGAATACCTTTGGTGTTTCTTTTTATCTGCCAGGACCCAAAATCAAGAAAGACATATGGACTTACTTCTGAGCCATCCTCACCTGTAGACAGAAATCTTAACAAAGTAAAGACCTGTTTAGCATCACTATAGATATCAATCAAATGTTCCATGTTCAACTGCAACTTTGTCTTCTGGAATGTACCTCCTTTCTGAGAATCCTGACTAAATTCCATCAAGTATAATTTGGGGCCACACCAGTGATGAAATGTAAAATTTGTTACTACTGGTTCTGTGGGCGTGTTTTGGTGAGGGTTAATGTGACTCATGGGCGTGACCAACTTTTTTTTTTTTTACTTTTAAAAGCATTTTTAGTATAACTTCTTCGGCCGAAGAGGTTGTTAAAAATGCTTTTAAAAGCCTCTGACGATCCCAGCTGAGTTGCCTGATTGTCTCTTTTTACTCCATTCATAACAGCAATATCCAAGATTAAATATTATATTGGGAAAATACAAAACATATGATGTTCATTACAAAAAATGCGTATCCATTGTCTTTTAAGAAATTAGTAGCCTGTCGAGCAAACTAAATCAAACACAAGGACACATACATAAATATTCTTATGTCATTTTAATTTCGAAATGCAATTCAGTTCCATAATGGAGTTGGAAGGGACCTTGGAGGTCTTCTACTCTAACCCCTTGCTCAAGCAGGAAACCCTATCCCATTTTAGAGAAATGGTTAGGCATCTCTCCTTAAAACCTCCAGTGTTGGAGCACCTACAAATTCTGGAGGCAAGTTGTTTCAAAAATTAATTGTTCTAATTGTCAGGAAATTTCTTCTTTGTCTAGGCTGCCTCTCTCCTTGCTTAGTTTCCATCCATTGTTTCTTGTTCTGCCTTCAGATGCTTTGGAGAATAGATTGACCCTCTCTTCTTTGTCATGGCTCCGTAGATATTGGAACACTGCTACCATTTCACCCTTCACCCTTCTTTTTACTAAGACATATCCAGTTCCTGCAACCGTTCTTCATATGTTTTAGCCTTCAGTCTCCTAATCATTTTTGTTGCTCTTCTCGGTATGTAGAGGTCTTCATAAAGACCACCCCAAATATCTAGTAAAACCACAAGATTCTAGAATACCATCACCGTCCTTCGCTTCTGGATTTTCAGGTCATTGGAGAAGAATATCTTCACCTCCAAAGAATAGTCTACCAAGTTAGAGTATGCCAAATATCCCACTTGCTGAAACTTGTGATTCCATACAATGGCATTTTCATTAATGGTGAACTTCTTCCCATCAAGAGATTTGGAGACCATCTTTCCAATCCGGACTCTCTGGAAGGTTTGATTGTTGAAGGAGACAAAGTTGAAGATATCATATCCCGGGTCAAACTCCCCTTTCTCATCAAAAAAGATTTCTTCTCCCACACTGTTATTAAAACAGGTGTTTTTCAGAAAGTAGTGAAGCTGAATTTGAGAGAGAGGAGAGATCAGATCAGTTATCCAAATCTTCCCCAAAGTTTGGCTTTATTCAGAATCCCAACACAGTTTCTTTAATGAATCTCATCAGGATTGTAACCGAATTGCTTTCTGGTTTGATTCAGAAATCTCTTCAACCCATGGACCACATCCTATTTTAAATTTCAGTAATATCTGATCCAACAATTTCCTAATATGTATTGATTCAACTGGAATATATTAACAGATAAAATTAAATTCATGGCATCAGATTTTCACACAGTTTATTTTTCAATTCTTGAATAAATAAACAATTGGAGGAAAGAGACCATCCCACATAAATAAGGAAAGGTATCCATTACATGTGATGGGAAGAAAAGGGAAGCACAGGGAACGCATTACTCTCCACCTCTTAATCTTGACTCACAGCTTTGTAAAAGTTTCCTTTATATGAATCAATGAATCAATAACTTCCTTAAATTAATATTATTTTGATTCTTGTAGAAACTTCACTTAGTCTTTCCAATCCTGCCAGTCACATTTGGAAGCCATCTTTTACATTTGGGCCTTCAGGTCTGCCACTTTTACTGCTGTGGGAAATTGGGAGAAGGGATTGTATGGAGCATGGGTGATATGTAGTCATAATAACATTCCTTTCTCAAGGCCGTCTTGCCCTGCACCTGGGAGGCTGGAACGGGGAGGCCTGTCCAGTTGGGACCATGCTGTAATTGGACCATGTGATGGACTTGTGGGTGTTGGGCAGAGACTTGAACTTTCCTTTGGGTGGGGAAACCCTGGAAGCTTCCAGATTCAGGTTTCTCCAGATGTGCCCATTTGATACCTCTAATAAAATACAGCTTTGATGAAATTCAAGTCTCAGAGTCTTTTAGTTGGGTGTGTTACTTGGAACCCTGACACCCATATCTCTGGATTGTCATATGCATATAATACATCCAAAGTGTTACAGTGCAAATCGATTCACCAATTGGAATTGGAAATTGTATTAATTATGGTAAAAACACAGTCCAGTTAATATTATCTTCTAGTGAGTTCAGATCCACATACATGCACAAATATGAAGAGTGTTGGGCCATTTTATTCAATAAATCAATCAGCAGGTTTAATTGAATCCTGCTTATCTAGTTTTAGGATTTGTGCAGAAAACCAGTTATATTTCAGGTCATGTTGATGTAGAAATATTAAAACTTCATAAGGATTCACAAACTTTTAGGGATTACCATATATGTAAAAGTTTTTCACTATATATACAAAGTACATCAACAGTTCCATAGTACAGTAGGTAGGGTAGCAAGAACAGAAATATTGTTTAGAATAGAATAGAATAGAATAGAATAGAATAGAATAGAATAGAATAGAATAGAATAGAATAGAATAGAATAACAGAGTTGGAAGGGACCTTGGAGGTATTCTAGTCCATCCCCCTGCTTAGGCAGGAAACCCTACACCACTTCAGACAAATGGTTATCCAACATCTTCTTAAAAATTTCCAGTGTTGGAGCATTCACAACTTCTGGAGGTAAGTTGTTCCACTTATTAATTGTTCTAACTGTCAGGAAATTTCTCCTTAGTTCTAAATTGCTTCTCTCATTGATTAGTTTCCACCCATTGCTTCTTGTTCTACCCTCAGGTGCTCTGAAGAATAGTTTGACTCCTTCTTCTTTGTGGCAACCCCTGAGATATTGGAAAACTGCTATCATGTCTCCCCTAAACTAGACATACCCAGTTCCTGCAACCGTTCTTCATATGTTTTAGCCTCCAGTCCCCTAATCATCTTTGTTGCTCTTCTCTGCACTCTTTCTAGAGTCTCAACATCTTTTTTACATCGTGGCGACCAAAACTGAATGCAATATTCCAAGTGTGGCATTATAAAATGGTATTAACACTTTTCATGATCTTGATTCTATCCCTCTGTTTATGCAGCCCAGAACTGTGTTGGCTTTTTTGGCAGCTGCTGCACACTGCTGGCTCATATCTAAATGGTTGTCCACTAGGACTCCAAGATCCCTCTCACAGTTACTGCTATTGAGCAAGGTACCACATATACGATACCTGTGCATTTTGTTTTTCTTCCCTAAATATAGAACCTTGCTTTTTTCACTGTTGAATTTCATTTTGTTAGATAGCGCCCAATGTTCAAGTCTGTCAAGATCCTTCTGTATCTTGAGCCTATCTTCTGGAGTGTTGGCTATTCCTGCCAGCTTGGTGTCATCTGCAAATTTGATGAGTTCCTATCTATCCCCTCGTCCAAGTCATTGATGAAGATGTTGAAGAGCACTGGGTCTAAAACAGAGCACTGGGGTACTCCACTGCATACTTCCCTCCATGTATTTTGCAGTTCCATTGAGGACTACACGTTGAGTGCGGTTGGTCAGCCAGTTACGAATCCATCTGGTGGTGATGCTGGCTAACCCACATTTTTCTACTTTATCTAGTAGTAGGTTATGGTCTACTTTATCAAATGCTTTACTGAAGTCCAAGTAAGTGATATCGACAGCATTCCTCTGGTCCACTAATTTTGTCACTTTGTCAAAGAATGCAATAAGATTAGTCTGGCATGATCTCTTTTTGACAAACCCATGTTGGCTTTTGGTTATTACTTAATTTGCTTCTAGGTGTTTGGTGATTTGTTGTTTGATTATACTTTCCAGAATCTTCCCTGGTATTGAGGTCAAGCTGATAGGTCTGTAATTTCCTGGATCTATTTTCTTTCCTTTTTTGAAGATGGGAACTACATCAGCTCTTTTCCACTCCTCTGGCAGTTCCCCTGTGCTCCAGGATCTTTGAAAGATATAGTGCAGTGGTTCTGAGATCTCGTCTGCCAGTTCCTTCAGAACCTTGGGGTGTAATCCATCTGGTCCTGGTGATTTAAAGTGGTCTAGGGTAGATAGATGTTCACTTACCATTTTCTTCCCTATTTTAACTTGTGTTCCTAATCTGTTTTTTGTGGTGCTGTTTTTGATAGGTTGGACTGTTTATCCTTTTGTTTAAAGAAAGATGCAAAAAATGAGTTTACTACAGAGAGATTGGGGGAGACCCTATAATGAAGAGTATGGAGACAACCTAAAAACATTTTAATTTTGTGCATTCAAATTTTGGGAGAAGTTGGGTGTGAGAGTTTGCAAAGAAGCTGCTAAATGTGATTAGGAAAAAAATAGAATGTGGAGAAAAGAATAGATTAATACTTGCAATGAAAGACAAAGAACAAACTGAATATGAAATGATATGGGAATTATTTTATTGATGGTTAGAGAATAAAAATGGAAGTTAGAAACAAAAGAAAGAGATTAGTGAAATGTAGAAAATATGTTAAGATACAGATGTAAACAATATGATTGGTATTATTATGAACTATTAGGATTATTACGTTTAACATTACTATTATATTCTTATCAGAAGATATGAAAAGAGGGAAAAATGAACATATTTATTATGCTCGACATTACTACTGTAAGATCAGAAAATTATTATCAATGTAATGAATACCATTGAAAATTTTGATGGTTATTGTACCTAGATGACACACTGTTGAATGGAAGATGGAATGTTTATATTAAAAGAATAACAAATTATAAAAAGAAAAGAAGAAGAAGCTGCTAAAATTAATGGATTTTTCACTCCCTGAAACAGCATTAAGTAGAAGATCTCCAAACATAGCTCCATCTGGACTTTGGAGATGATTCTTTGATATCATTGAGCTGCATCAGTTACTGAAGACAAATATTTCCTAACAGATAATTGGTTGTTGCAGAGAAATAAATTCAGAGTGCCTATCTATTGCTGCCTTCCCATCCCATCCCTTTCAGGGCTTCCATAAATATATATGGGAAGAGCAATGACATACCTCCCATGGCTGAAAATGCTGAAGATTTGATCCATCCTGATTCCTCAGAGGAGCTGGCTTTGCTTTTTTTGCTCCTTTTGAATGCATTGCTTGTACCGCATGTGCTGCAAGATGAACCCCGTTGTAGATATTGTAACTCTCTCCAGACATGGTCATTTCATACACAGAGCCAGAGACTTCCTTGAGATTTTTCCTCCCTGTGCAGCGTTTAACTCCTTTCTGATATGGAGGCAGTGAACAACGAAACACAGACTCCCAGAACCAATTAACATAAGGAAAGGGATGTTCCGAAGGTTTTATTCTCTCAAGAAATTCCTGAAATCCTGGCACAGTCCTTGTGTGGAGTGAGAAGTATAGGGAACCATTGAAAGACTGAACTAGGAGTCTCCCTTTTGATGATAAACTCACAGTGAAATCCCACTGGTAGGTCATGATCCATACTCTGTGATCTATTGGGTTCTTTTGGTAAATTTCACGAGAATAAAGCCCCCATTGTAAAATCTCCATAGATTGGACAGTCCCAGAAGCAAGGAATACAGTGACATTCTTCTGTAAGATAATGTCTATTATTTTGTGTACATGTTCTAAAATGAAATCTTTCTTTAAGAGTGCATCTCTTAAAATGGGGATCAATGCCATCCAAGCAATGCAAATATCACTCTGGAAGTGTCTTGGTTGGAGATGTTGAAAAAATACTTTCCCCCTCTCATCCTCTGAGACCAAGAGGCCAATCCAGTTCCATCCAAAATGTTTTAGTAAGTGAACAATCCCTTCGTATTGCAAATTTTCATTGGGAACCATGCTGAAGAAGGAAGGGAACTGCCCTTTGTCACTCAGGACTGGGTCAAAGGAGCCATAATTCAGCTGTTGGGAAGAATGATGCATAGAAAATTAAACTGGGAGTCCTTTGGTGATCATGAAGAGAATAGAGCTTTTCCATCCTCCATAGAATATTGGATTGTACTGTGGCATTATGACTTTATTGCAAAATCCCAAAGGTTGCTATCAAGTGTTACATAAAGAAAGAGAACATAAGCTTCACAATAGTAGATTCTGGGAACTCAGAACTGGGAAATGATAGCCCGGCTAAAGTTGAAAGAAGGTACGGTATAAAAACAACACAAAACAACAGGCTGATCTGTAAAAAATGATCATACCTGTGGAAACTTGTAGATGTTCAACATGTACGCCATCTGGATGGAATTGAGTGAGGTGAGGTCACCAATGATAGGCAAGAAGTTCAGATTCCTTCTTCTGACACAGTTGAAGTTGATAGGACTCCCTTGTCTGAGAAACAGAAAATTTAAAACATGCTGACTGGCCACCCAGGCATTGAAACTGGTTTCATAAATCTCCAGTGCTGGTGTGATGTTGGGGAACAGCTTGGCATTCTTGTTGACTTCATCAATGGCAAAATACAGGGAAAGAGGATGCTGGGCATATTTTGGTATCATGCTGAAATGAAAGTGCAGAAGGAGAGAAAATCATATCACACACAAAAATCTAAATCAATTCTAAAATACCGTAGTGGTCAAAATTGTGGAAACCTTTTGGAGAAAGTGTATTTTCTAAAACTAGCTAATAACACCACTTTTTTTTTAGTAGTACCATAACATTGTATATCAATGGAAAGATAATTTAATCAAGAAATTAATGCAATAATTTTTATGAAGATTTGTTATTTGAATAGGAGTTAAAGTATAAAGAAGAAAAGTGAAACACGGAAAAAATGAGGTATACTAAATCCTTTAACATAAATTACAGTCTTACAAAGTTTTCCCATGGAATGATCCAAGTCTTTTTGTTCTGCAGCTGTTATAATGTGAAACCAAGATTGAATGATTGCTGGGTTTTATTGCTGGGTCGGTTCTGAGTTGTGACTAACAAGTTTCTTCAATTGGTGCCATAGTTTTCCAATTGGGTTAAGGTCTGGGCTCTTCCAGCACTGGAATATGATTATCTTGAAACTCCAAAAAAAAAGTGGTATGATTAGCCATCAAGCCTCAAAAATACACTTTTCCCAAAACTTTTCCACAATTTTGGCCACTACTGTACATAGATAATTTCAGCAATTTATCCAATAGAGATGTAACAGAAATGTATTTTAATTGCATAATTAGTATGATTCCTATTAATCAGGTGGCTCTTTCAGGAAGACCTGTACCTCTAGGCAAGGATTTTGAAGAGGTTGACTGGAAGACATTTTCCTAACAGAGAAAGTGATGTTCCTCTTTCGAAGAGATCATAGAATAAAGCCTAGTATAGGTGCCCTTCTTGCTGACTTTTCTACCTTTTGAGTGACAAAGTTGTCAGCTGGGTTGGTAGGGAACCTGTTCGATTTCCCCCTTGTTCCTGAGTTTGTCTTCCAGTTAATGTCTGGCTAAATAAAATCCCCCATTGCTATCGTGGTATATTTTGAGATACATTTGTTAATTGATTACCAAAATGTTCATCTATTCTTTCTGCTCCATTGGGTCGCTTATAGTATATTGCAGTGGTGGGTTTCCTCCGGTTCAGACCGGTTCTATAGAACCGGTAGTAAAACCAGCAGGAGGCTCCGCTCACTGACCCCGACATCATCAGGAAGCTCCTGCACATGCGAACCGGTAGTAAAGATAATTAGAACCCACCCCTGGTATATTCCTATGGCAACATCATTCTTTTATCTTGACCCATAAGCATTGTAGCAGGCTTTCAACCTTGGTTTTGTGTGCCCCTCTTGGTTTTGTGCATCTCTCTTGTTTTGCAATGTCATCTTCTGACAGAGGATTTATTTTCTTTGAAAGTCTGTGAACACCAGCAAATCAACCTTACCATTGGGTGGATATATGTTAATCTTGGGCAGTAAATTATATGATCGGGTCTCTGATTCAACCTTTTAGTTCATAGTTTGCTGATTTCTTGGAGCTTCCTTCTTTCATAGGAAAGGTATATTGAAGAGTTTATAAAATGATCAACTATCTTCTAGATCTTCCTAGAACTGTTTCCATGCAACTACACACTTCCATCAACATATGTCAACGTTTAAGATGGATATAAATATTCACACTGTTCTTTTGAATCTTGTCATCTTTTCTTCATTCATTCTTCACCAGCTCATAAACACCTTCATAATAATGATGTGAATTGCAGTTTCTCAGAAATGTGCCAGTTGGTATTTTATTCTTTTGAGAAACAGCTTCTAATACTTTACTAGACCCGTGAACTTGGTGGTATTTCCATTTTTGAAATGGAGAGAGGAAGAGAAAGGAGCCACTTGGAATTGGATTACCTTGATAAAGTGCTATGAAAGCTCCCAGTATTTGCTGAATGGAAAAATATTGAGAGGAAATAACCCTATTTCCCATGAACTTGGTGGCATTTCCATTTTTGAAATGTAGAGAGGAATAATCTTGGAGCATTTGTTTCAAAAATCCAAGTTTACCTTAAAATGCATCTTTAGATCTCTAGATCTCTAAGAGGGTTCGTTATAACATATGAAAGTCCCACATGTATGATTTCCTAAGGGCCTTCTCTACGGAAGCCCTGATCAACATGCCTAACATCTGTAAATATGACAGCCAAACTAGCAGTGCCATAATTGAACCAGTATAATCCCACTTCCTACATTCTATCACTTTTCTCAGTAGTTACATTGCATTTTATTCAAAGAAGAGTGAGGCACCTACGATCCATATTCAGAAATTACTGGCATTTTTTTGAAACTCTGTGTACGTTCATCAGGATTCATAAAGGAAAAAAATCCCCCGAGTATCATTTTAGCTCCAGAGGTGGAAAATTTCCTTGGAACATTACTGGGCTGGAGGCAGATGGATTTCAAACTCTTACTGACACTGGCAGGAAGGAAGAAGAACAGAATAAGGTTAAATGAAAGAAGACTTGAGCCATCCTTCCATCCTTTCAAATACATGGTCAACAACATAGAGCAGTCAAGTCTGCCAAAAAATCAATTGCCTTGATTAGACCTAATGGGAAACGTCCACTGAAAAGGAGGAAGATATATAAAGAATAGAATTCTTTATTGGCCAAATGTGATTAGTCACACAAGGAATTTGTCTTTAGTGCATATGCTCTCAGTGTAAATAAAGAAAAAATGAAATATATTCGTCACAAATTAAATAAAAAAGTAAAAATAAAACAGAGCAGTTTCCTTGACTCTGATTTCAGTGGCCCAAGATAAATTCTGAGGGATCTTTCAAAGTGCAGCAGGAATTTCTGACTTTTTTTCTCCTTGCCATCCTTGTTCAGCTGTGATGCTGTCAAGAAACAGAACTGAAATACAGTCATTGGCAAATCAGAGGGGAAATTATAACCTTTATTCCCTAGCAATTTAGGCAAATTGTGTTTGTGTAAAATCTGTACCTGGATACTGTAAGAGTTACAATTAGTTTCCCATAGCAAGTGCCATTTTCTTTCTCTTGCCTTGCAATCATCTTTGTTCTTACCTTTACTTTATACACAGAAAAGTTTCAGAAACTTTTGCTTTGGAGAATTGCATTACCTACATCAATCTACATTATCTCTCACATGGATGCCAACTTGTTATATCACAGAAAGCTTTACTACAAGGGGTTGAAAGAAAGATGGGATCTTGAAAATGTGATTAATTTACCGTATTTTTCGGACTATAAGACACACTTTTCCATCACAAAAAAAGTGGGTGGAAATGTTGGTGCGATTTATAGACTAAATATGGGTCTGTTTTTGCCCTCCCGAAATACCCCCATGCATGTTTTTGGCAAAAGCAGGATGCACAGAGGGTTTGGGAGGCCTGCAGACTGCTCCTGGGGGCTGGGGAGGGGAAAAACCAGATGCACAGAGGCCAAATTTTTTTTTCTTTTTTTCCTCTTCAAAATTTAGGTGCATCTTATACTCCCGTGCATCTTATAGTCTGAAAGAATACAGGTAATATACAGAGAAAAACTATAATAGTCCACTGTCTTCCCTAAAATGAAAACAGGCAAAATAAATCAATCCTCAACTTATGACTGCAGTTGAGCCCAAAATTTCTGTGTCATTTTTTCATTGAGTTTTGCCCCAATTTATGACCTTTCTTGCCTCAGTTGTTAAGTGAAGCACTGCAGTTGATAAGTTAATAACCCAGTTGTTAAGTAAAACTGGCTTCTTCATGGACTTGTTGTCAGTTGTCAGAATGTCGCAAAAAATGATCATATGACCTGAGATCACTGCAACCATCATTAATATGAACCAATTGCCAAGCATATGAATTTTGATCACATGATCAAGGGGATTCTGCATAACTTTGAAAAACGGTCATAAGTCAGTTTTTTCAGTGCTGTTGTAACTGACAATGGTCACTAAACAAAGTGTTGTAAGTCAAGGACTATCTGTAATACTTTCCATGTCTTCAAATAATCCATCCAATCATCTATCAATCACCTATTTCTATACAAGAAATCTCACAAATTTCATCAAAATCACATTTCACTACCAATAAAGGAGAATATTTGTAGCTCAGGGTTGAATCATTTCAACCCTGAGCTACAAATGTTTTCCTTATTGGCTCATCATATTTCAGCGAAACCAAGAAGAAATAGAAATCCACACGATAAGCAGCTTTAGCTTCAAATTTATAATCTGGGTATAGTGGTAAAAAAGAATCTCAGATATAAAGGCCGGACAAGGAATAATGGATGGAAGCAGATCAAGGAGAGATTCAACCTAGAAATAAGGAGAAATTTTCTGACACTGAGAACAATCCACTAATGCAGTGGTTCTCAATCTGTGGGTCAGGACCCCTTTGGGGGTCGAATGACATTTTCACAGGGGTCGCCTAAGACCATCAGAAAACACATATTTTTAATGGTTTTAGCAATAATTTTATGGTTGGAGGTCACCACAACATGAGGAACTGTATTAAAGGGTCGCAGCATTAGGAAGGTTGAGAACCACTGCACTATTGGAACAGAAGTTGCCTTTGGAAGTTGTGGGAGCTTCATCAGTGGAAGTTTTCAAGAAGAGATTGGACTGCCATTTGTCAGAAATGGTGTAGGGCCTCCTGCTTGGGCTGGGAGGTGGGGGTTGGACTAGATGACCTACAAGATCCCTTCCAACTCTGTTAATCTGTATCTGTAAATGTTATCTTGAAAATTGCTATATTCTGTTATTGCCGATTGCAACTGGGAATGCTTAGAAATGCTAAATTAGGTTTGCAGTTAAAAAAATTGTACGAGCCGTACTTTGCCCTTCTGTGAGTGTTTTTTTAAAACATTTTTTTCAAATACACATTTATTGGGATTTTAAACCAAAAAGTTAAAAACTAACACCAAATGATATTAAAAAAAGAATAACTGCAAAAAAGAAAAAAAAAGAAACAAGGTCAAACGTTTTACCTGCATTTTCAAGAAGACTCATTCTAATGTTATTCTGACAAAATTATGGGTATTTTTTTCTTTCAAATGTATGGAATTTCTAGTTCCAAAGATTTACTAAAGCTTTTCTCTGCATAAATGTCATTTTAAAAGCATATATATCTTGGAGATGAGCTTTTACAATACCAGAAAAGTACTATTAAAGGTATTTTTCTTCTCCCCTTAATATCAGAATTTACAACACTTTGTTCCTTCATTCAATTTGTGTGATGGGCTACTGCTAATCATGTAATTCTCAAACAAATTCAGTATAGAGTGAGGTTGACCAAATCTGATTTATTTCTCACATTTCAATATTTGTCAGTCTTGATTCAACTCATCTCATAGACTTATTATTTTCTGTAAAACATGTGATGAATGGAGTATTAAGTGTGTTTGAAGCCTTGAGTTTTATATAAAAGGAACTGGTGGGATAATAAAATAGCCAGGACAAAACACAGACTTCTCTCCAGCCAATCTCTGCTTGAAGAAAAATACCAAAGCAGAAAAGTCAGCTTGGAGCGTATCTGGATACCAGGAAAGGAGAAGAGGCATCAAGCTAAATTGCTAGAAAATTTCCACAATTTTTTCCTATTCAGATTATGACTCCCTTGTAGGAGTTTTTCTTAGTTAATTCATTGCATTTTCAATACTATTTCTAAAATAATCTGAGCAGCTTTCATTTCATATAAAATATATAAGGTAACAAGCTAATAAATATATATCAACATAAAAACCTAATATATGTCAGAATATTCATGACTGGGAAGACATGACAACAAGGTCAGCCAATGAATTGGCATATCCAATGAATTTGAAGGAGCCTGGTGGCGCAGCAGACTAAACTGCTGCTGTTAAAGTAGCACTTAGCTGCCAGATGCCTGCAATTACTGCGAGTTCAATTCTCACCAGGCTTAAGGTTGACTCAGCCTTCCATCCTTCCACGGTAGGTAAAATGAGGACCCGGTTTGTGGGGGCAATAAGCTGACTTTGTGTAAAATAGAACACCACTTGGGGGGGGGGCAAAAAACCCTACTAAGCAGGTATATACAAAAGTATGAAGGCTATTGCTTAATGCATTGTAAGCCACCATGAATCTCCAGAGAAGGGTGGCATATAAATCAAATAAATAAATAAATAAATCAAATGAATAAATAAATTAAATGAATAAATAAATAAATAAATAAATAGCAACTAAATCAGCCAATGGAACTGAAACCGTTTGGAGTCTGCACAGTTTGGAGTTAGCTCTGTGTGCTATGTTGAGAATTAAAACTGAAACTAGTCTGTCTGTTGTACTCTGCTTGTGATTTGTTTGTAAATGCTACCACGTTGGAAGAATCTGCTGTTGGTATTGTACATTTAATCATGTGTTATTATGTATATATATAAAAGTTATGAATCCTGCAGAATCAGTTATCTGTGTGTGCGTTCTGGATTTGATTTTTGCAACAAACTCTGACAATATATATATATATATATATATATATATATATAATATATATATATATATACACACACACACACACACACACACACACACACACACACATATTTCTATAGGTATCCCACCTCCAGAAGAACTAAAATCACCCCATTTCCACCACAGAAGAGCCAGGTGTGACTTCTCAACTTGATAAAATGAGGGGTAGAAAATGGGGCCAATGTATAAAATTTTCAATAGAGCTACTTGACATCTTGGAAACCAAAGAGGTTCTCTCATGTTAACAGCAACCATGCATTTCCCAAAATACCCTTATTCTCTCCATAGTATCAAAAAATTCCAATGCAATCATGGTACTATTTATTTGTTTATTTGTTTATTTATTTTCAAACATTTATACAGCTAACTATCTTCTAACCAACTCTAGATGGTGGTTCCCAATCAAAAGTTAAAACAACCTATAAAATAATACTTAAACTATAAAAAAAATAAATCAAAATATTAAAAACTATAAATACCCAGCCAGCTAATCTGACCCAGCACTTGGTGGAAAAGCCAGGTCTTCAAAGCTGCATGGAAGGCTAGGATGGAAGAAGTCTGCCAAAGATTAGGGTCAGAGTGTTTCATAAGGCAAGCCTGTAATGGAACAGGCACACTTCCTTAAAGGGACAGCTTCAATTACATATTCCTGGCTTTCTTCAATATTTCAGATCACCCCTAAGATTACTCACGATCACCAGAAAAATGCCAAAAAATTACAGTATAGGATTTCACTATTTAACTGTTCTACAGCTCGGATAAAGCCTTAGAAATTGATTATATATGTTACATACATAAAGAAAAGAAATAGCATTGAATTGCATGATGAAGTTTGCGAGCTTGAATATTTGGACTTTTCCCATGAATGTTTTTGGTAACCAGGTAAAGGCTGAATTACAGAATTATTCATTGTTAATCTGTCCTCCTGGTTAGATGCTGTTTGGTGTTCAGATGTGGGTTCAGGAGAATGATGTAGCATTTGGGCAGGAAGATGCAACCCAGGAGACCTGCAGTAGAGCCCAAGATGGAGAAGATCTCCACAGCCACCATGTATTTCCCCTTGGTGCTCAGATAGGCTGGGATGAAGGACACCCAAATGCTACAGAACACAAGCATGCTGAAGGTGATCAGCTTGGCTTCATTAAAAGTATCAGGCAGTTTTCTGGCAAAGAAAGCCACAGTGAAACTGATGGTGGCCAGGAGCCCCAAGTAGCCCAGGACAATGTAAAACATGGCATCTGAGCCTTCATTACATTGAACAATGATCTCTTGAACCTGCGAATGCATGTCCCACTCAGGGAAGGGAGTAGACATGATCAACCATATCATGCAGATAATAGCTTGAATACATGAGCAGAAGACAATGATGGATCCTGCCAGTCTGTTTCCTATCCATTTCCTCATCTGGTTTCCTGGCTTAGTGGCCAGGAAGGCCAAAACAACCGTGATGGTCTTGGCCAAGACACAAGAAACCGAGAGAGAGAAAATGGTGCCAAACATAATTTGCCTGAGAAAGCAAGTCACCTTCCCAGGCCGACCTATGAAGAGCAGAGAGCACAGAAAACAAAGCAGGAGAGAGGAAAGAAGGATGCATGTGATGTTCCTGTTGTTGGCTTTGACAATGGGGGTGTCCCAGTGCAGAATGAAGGCCAGTGCCACCAAAATGACAACTAATGAAAAGAAAAGGATCAAGGAAATCAAAACGATTCCCAAGGGTTCACCATAGGATAAATAGCTGAAACGTTTGGGAAGGCATTGGATCTTTTCTTCATTCGAATACTGATCCACTGGGCATCTCTCACATTGGTTAGCATCTGAAATACATGAAGAAGAACAAGTCATTTCCAACTATATAGGACAATCTATAGAGCTAATTGAGAGAGATCATTGCTGGGGTTGCCATTCACAATCCCCTTGACATATAATAATGCTTTCTTAAAAAGTGTACGGATTCTGGTCTGTTATTTATTCATATATATTCCTTTGAACTGCACTATTAGTGGTGGAGGACTCTGAAGAGAATTGCAACTCTCAACTAAGAAAAGAGATCAGAATAGAATGGATTTATAAAAGTGTTTAAATTAGACCCATCTTTGAAAAAGAAATCTACCAAAGGTTACCCCAATTCCATTCCTCTAAATAGCATATCAGAGATGGAAAGAATGAAGAAAAGATGAGTTTGGAAGCTCTCAACTCTTAGCTGTCACTTTTTTTTACTTACCTGTTTCAATTGAAATTCTTCCTTCAGAACATTGTCTACAATTGTAGCAACAAATATGTTTTCCCTCCTGAACAACTCTGCTGTACCCCTGACGGCAGCTCTCTACACATCTGGCATGGGGAGGTACCTGAAAGAAAAATGAAAAGGTTTAGGAATGAGATTCATCAAGATGTTGTGCAAGTCCTCCTTTTTATTAGGAGAACTTGGTACTTTCAGGGAGATGCATAATCTTCTGATGTCAACATGTCCCAAGATGCTTTCGGAGAGTGTCCATATTTATATTAAATCATTCTATTCCTAGGATGAGTTCTGAGTTTTCTGCAAACATATTTGTTGTAAAACAACAAAAACAGATAGTTGAGTGCATGGGGGTCCCTGGTGGAGATATCTAAAATGTTTCAATCCTACTAGAAATCAGATCAGATCAGAGAGGTTTTAAACCTGCAATCTAGAACAAAACGAAGGATTTCATTCTGTAGGAAATGTCATCCATTTTCATTTTGTAGGATTAAAATACCCTTGGTGTTCCTTTTTATCTGCCAGGACCCAAAATCAATAAAGACATATGGACTTTCTTCTGAGCAGTCCTCACCTGTAGATAGAAATCTTAACAAAATAAAAGACTTGTTTAGCATCACTATAGATATCAATCAAAGCTCCATATTCAACTGCGACTTTGTCTTCTGGAAAAAACACCTCCTTTCTGGGAGTCCTGACTAAATTCCATCAAGTATCATTTGTATGTAGAGATTTCTCTAAAAGGGGCTCCATAGGAGTGCAGCCATCTATAATAAACCTTTTCTCCTTTCAGAAAGTATCCTCTTTTTACTCCATTCGTAACAGCAATACCCAATATTAAATATTAAATTGGGGAAATGCAAATTTCTGTTCATTACAAAAAATGCATATCTATTGTCTTTTAAGAAATTAGTAGCCTGTCGAGCAAACTAAATCAAACAAAAGGACACATGCATAAATATTCTTATTTCATATTAATTTCAAAATGCAACTCAGTTCCATAACGGAGTTGGAAGGGACCTTGGAGGTCTTCTACTCCAACCCCGTGCTCAAGCAGGAAACCCTATCCCATTTTAGAGAAATGGCTGTGCCATATTTGCTTAAAACCTCCAGTGTTGGAGCACCCACAACTTCTGGAGGCAAGTTGTTACAAAGATTAATTGTTCTAATTGTCAGGAAATTTCTTCTTAGTGTAGGCTGCCTCTCTCCATCCTTAGTTTACATCCATAGCTTCTTGTTCTGCCTTCAGTTACTTTGGAGAACAGATTGACCCTCTCTTCTTTGTCAAGGCTTCTTAGATTTTGGAACACTGCTACCATATCACCCTTCACTCTTCTTTTTACTAAGACATATCCAGTTCCTGCAACCATTCTTCATATGTTTTAGCCTTCAGCCCCCTAATCATTTTTGTTGCTCTTCTCGGTATGTAGAGGTCTTCATAAAGACCATCCCAAAAAGCTAGCTTAACCACAAGATTCCAGAATACCATCACCATCCTTTGCTTCTGGAATTTCAGGTCATTGGAGAAGAATATCTTCACCTCCAAATAATAGTCTACCAAGTTTGAGTATGCCAAATATCCCACCTGCTGAAACTTGTGATTCCATACAATGGCACTTTCATTAATGGTGAATTTCTTCCCATCAAGAGGTTTGGAGACCATCTTTCCAATATGGACTCTCTGAAAGGATTGATTGTGGAAGGAGACAAAGTTGAAGATGTCGTATCCCGGGTCAAACTCCCCTTTCTCATCAAAAAAAATTTCTTCTCCCACACTGTTATTAAAACGGGTGTTTTTCAGAAAGTAGTGAAGCTGTATTTGAGAGAGAGGAGAAGTCAGATCAGTTATCCAAATCTTCCCCAAAGTTTGGCTTTGTTCAGAATCCCAACACAGTTTCTTTAGTGAATCTCATCAGAATTGCTTTCTGGTTTGATTTAGAAATCTCTTCAACCCATGCACCACAGCCAATTTTAAATTACAGTAATATCAGATCCAACAATTTCCTAATATTTATTGATTCAACTGGAATATATTAACAGATAAAATTAAGATTCATGGCATTCATGGTATTGCTGATTTCCTTCCCATCCCCTTCAGGGCTTCCATACATGTATCTGAGAAAAGCAATGACACACCTCCCATGGCTGAAAATGCCTAAGATTTGATCCATCCTGATTTCTCAGAGGAGCTGGCTTTGCTCTTTTTGAATGCATTGCTTGCATGATATGTGCTGCAAGATAAACCCCATTGTAGGTATTGTAGCTCTCTCCAGACATGGTCATTTCAAACACAGAGCCAGAGACTTTCTTGAGTTTTTCCTTCCCAGTGCAGCGTTTAACTCCTTTCTCATATGGAGGCAGTGAACAAAGAAACACAGACTCCCAGAACCAACTAAGATGACGAAAGGGATGCAGAAAAGGTTTTATTCTCTCAAGAAACTCCTGAAATCCTGGCACAGTCCTTGTATGGAGTGAGAAGTATAGGGAGCCGTTGAAAGTCTGAACTAGGAGGCTCCCTTTTAATGATAAAATTACACTGAAATCCCACTGGTAGGTCATGATCCATACTCTGTGATCTATTGGGTTCCTTTGGTAAACTTCACGAGAATAAAGCGCCCATTGTAAAATCTCCATAGATTGGACAGTCCCAGAAGCAAGGAATACAGTGACATTCTTCTGTAAGATAATGTCTAATATTTTGTCTCTGCGTTCTTGAAAGACATCTTTATTTAAGAGTGCATCTCTTAAAATGGGGATCAATGCTATCCAAGCAATGCAAATATCACTCTGGAAGAGCCTTGGTTGGAGATGTTGAAAAAAAACTTTCCCCCTATCATCCTCTGAGACCAAGAGGCCAATCCAGTTCCATCCAAAATGTTTTAGTAAATGAACAATCCCTTCGTATTGCAAATTTTCATTGGGAACCATGCTAAAGAAGGAAGGGAACTGCCTTTTGTCACTCAGGACTGGGTCAAAGGAACCATAATTGAGCTGTTGGGAAAAATGATGCATAGAAAATTAAATTGAGGGTGGTTTTGTGATCCATGAAGAGCACAGAGCTTTTCCATTCTCCATAGAATAATGGATTTTACTGTGACATTATGACTTTATTGTAACATCCCAAAAGTTGCCATCAAGTGTTACATGTAAGGAGATCATAAGCTTCATGATAGTAGATTCTGGGAACTCAGAACTGGGAAATGATAGCCTGGTTAAAATTGAAAGAAGCTAGTGAAGGAAGACTGCCCTCCCCAGATAGAAGAAGAAACCGTGAGGCAGCAAATAATCCAAACACAATTCAAATAATTAAATCACAACCATTTACACAAGGAAAGAAAAGCCCTGTCTAGCTCATTGTCAGAGCTCACACCCCAGGCAAGCTCAAGTATAAACACTTGAGATAAGCCTAGCTACAAAAAATTCAATTAGCGTTAGTATGTAGCAAAAGAGCAAACACAGTAGCTATTGCTTGTTAGACCAATTACCAGAAGAAATAGACACAGGAATTAGATTTCTCAACCCTGCTTCCTTTCAGGAACAGAGATTAACCTCCTTCCTTCCAAACAAATAGGGAAAATTATCCCATCAATAAACACAGGATTAAACATCACCAAGCACAACTTAAATGGAACCAAAAACCAATTTTTGACCCAAACTCTAGCTAGCCAAGAAGCCTTGCTGCATGTCACTCATCTTAGTTCCTTGTCATTAAAAGCTTCTTTCCTGCAGCTCTGCTTCATTATTCAATTATTTCTTCAAAGTGCATCCTGGCGGGAAGAATCCTAACGGGAGCATTTTCCTCCCAACACTAAGGTTTATTAAAAAAAATGAGTTTTTCTTTTAACAAGATGAGCTATGGAAAATGGTCACACCTGTGGAAACTTGTAGATGTTCAACATGTGGGCCATCTGGATGGAATTGAGGGAGGTGAGGTCACCAAGGATAGGCAAGAAGTTCAGATTCCTTCTTCTGACACAGTTGAAGTTGATAGGACTCCCTTGATTGAGAAACAGAATATATAAAACATGCTTACTGGCCCTCCAGGCATTGAAATTGTTTTCATACATCTCCACTGTTATTGTGATGTTGGGGAACAGCTTGACATTCTTGTTGACCTCATCAACAGCAAAATACATAGAAAGAGGATGCTGGGCATATTTTGGTATCATGCTGAAATGAAAATGCAGAAGTAGAGAAAATCATATCACCCAAAAAAATGTCTAAATCTAGTTCTAAACTTCAAAGATAATTTCATCAATTTATTCCGTAGAGATTAATTTTGAATTTCAATGAAAGAGACTTTTGGCATTGCACATTATTCTGACCATCTCCACAATCACTGATTAGCAAGACCTGTTCTAGAACTCTAGGCAAGAATTTTGGAGAGGTTGACTGGAAGACGTTTTCCTAACAGAGAAAGTGATGTTCCTCTTTAGAACAGATCATAGAATAAAATCTAGGGTAGCTGCCCCTCTTGCTGACTCCTCTACTTTTTGAGTGACAAAGTTGTCAGTTGAGTTGGTAGGGGACCTGTTCGATTTCCCCCTTGTTTCTGAGTTTGTCTCCCAGTTAATGTCTGGGTAAATAAAAAACCCCATTGCTATTGTGGTGTATTTTGAGATACATTTGTTTATTATTTATTTATTTATTTATTTATTTTTGTGATTTATATGCTGCCTTTCTCCCAAGGGACTCAAGGCGGCTTACAAAATAACAGTTTCCCATACAAATCACAACAAGGTAAAAATTAAAATCAACACCCCAATTAAAACGGTTTAAAATTATTACAGTGTACACCCGACAGTTCAGTTGAGTTGACGGAAGAGCCACGTCTTCAGTTCGCAATGGAAGGAAAGGTGGTTGGGGGCTGTCCTGAGCTCGGTGGGCAATCCATTCCAGAGGGTCGGGGCCCCCACAGAGAATGCTCTCCTCCTGGGGGCCGTCAGCCGACATTGTTTGGCCGACGGCAGCCTGAGGAGGCCCACTCTGTGAGAGCGCACGGGACGATGGAAGAGCGGCAGAAGATGGTCCTGCAAGTACTCCGGGCCTAAGCCATGAATGGCTTTATAGGTAAGCACCAGCACCATGAAACGAATCCGGAAAGCCACCGGCAGCCAGTGCAGCTCACGCAGGAGAGGTGTTACACGGGAGTATCGAGATGCCCCCATAATTACCCGCGCGGCTACATTCTGGACTAGCTGGAGCCTCTGGACGCATCCCAAGGGCAGCCCCATGTAGAGGGTGTTACAGTAGTCCAACCTAGAGGTAACAAGGGCGTGAGTGACCGTGGCAAGGGCATCCCGGTCTAGAAAAGGGCGTAACTGGCACACAAGACGCACCTGTGCAAAGGCCCCCCTGGTTACGGCCATCAGATGATTGTCCAAGGACAGCCGAGAATCCATTTTCTTTGAAAGTCTAAGAACATGAGCAAATCAACCTTATGATTGAGTGGATATATGTTAATCTTGTGCAGTAAATTTTATGATCAGGTCCATAAACCAAACTTTTAGTTCATAGTTTGCTGATTTGCTGGAGCTTCCTTCTTTCATAGGAAAGGTACATTGAAGATTGTATAAAATGATCAATTATCTTCTAGATCTTCCTAGAACTGCTCTAAACGTTTACATGCAACATTGACATCAATATATTTCCATCAATGTTTAAGATGGAAATAAATATTCGCACTGTTCTTTTGAATCTTGTCATCTTTTCTTCATCCAATGGCATCGGCTAATAAACACCTTCATAAGAATGATGTGAATTGCAGTTTCTCAGAAAGGAGCCACTTGGAATTGAATTCCCTTGATAAAGTGCTGTTAAAAGCTCCCAGTATTTGCTGAATGGAAACATTATGAGTGGAAATGACCCTGTTTCCCATGAACTCAGTGATATGTCCATTTTTGAAATGTAGAGAGGAATAATCTTGGAGCATTTGTTTCAAGCACCAAGAGCCTTGGTACTACAGTGGTTTAAAGCACCCTGTTATTAACACAGCTGCCTGCAATTTACTGCTGGTTCGAATCTCGCCAAGGCTCAAGGTTGACTCAGCCTTCCATCCTTTCTAAGGTAGGTTAAATGAGGACCCAGTTTGTGGGGGCAATAAGCTGACTTTGTATAAATATACAAAAGGATGAAGGCTAATGCTGAGCACATTGTAAGCCGCCCTGAGTCTTCGGAGAAGGGCGGCATATAAATCAAATTTTTTTTTTAAAAAAATCCAAGTTTACCTTAAAATGCATCTTTAGATTTTTAGATCTCTAAGAGGGTTCGTAGTAACATATGAAAGTCCCACATGCATGTTTTCCTAAGGGCCATCTCTCAATGGAAGCCCTGCTCAACATGTCTAACATCTGTAAATATGACAGCCAAACTAGCAGTGTCATTATTGAACCAGAATAATTTCCTTTTCTCTACATTCTATCACCCTTGTCTGAAGTTACATTGCATTTTATTCAAAGAAGTTTGAGGCACTTACATTCCATATTCAGAAATTACTGGCATTTTTTTGAAACTCTGTGTACGTTCATCGGGATTTATAAAGGAAAAAAATCCTCCAAGTATTGTTTTAGCTCCAGAGTTGGAAAATTTCCTTGGAACATTATTGGGCTGGAGGCAGATGGATTTCAAACTCTTACTGACACTGGCAGGAAGCAAGAAGAGCAGAACAAGGTTAAATGAAAGAAGACTTGAGCCATCCTTCCATCCTTCCAAATACATGGTCAACAAAATAGAGCGGTCAAGTTTGCAAAAAATAAATTGCCTTGGTTAGACCTAATGGGAAACATCCACTGAAAAGGAGGAAGATATATAAAGAATAGATTTTTTTATTGTCCAAGTGTGATTGGTCACACAAGGAATTTGTCTTTGGTGCATATGCTCTCAGCGTACATAAAGAAAAAATGATATATTCATCACAAATTAAATAAAAAAGTAAAGATAAAAGAGAGTGGTTTCCTTGACTCTGATTTCAATGGCCCAAGATAAATTTTGAGGAATCTTTCAAAGTGCAGCAGGAATTTCTGAATTTTTTTCTCCTTGCCATCCTTGTTCAGGTGTGATGCTGTCAAGAAAGAGAACTGAAATGCAGTCATTGGAAAATCAGAGGGAAAATTATCACCTTTATTCCCTGGTGATTTAGGCAAATTGTGTTTGTCTAAAATCTGTACATGGATACTGTAAGAGTTACAATTAGTTTCCCATAGCAAGTGCCATTTTCTTTCTCTTGCCTCGCAATCTTCTTTGTTCTTACCTTGACCTTATACACAGAAAAGTTTCAGAAACTTTTGCTTTGGAGAATTGCATTACCTACATCAATCTACATTATCTCTCACATGGATGCCAACTTGTTATATCACAGAAAGCTTTACTACAAGGGGTTGAAAGAAAGATGTGATCTTGAAAATGTGATTAATTTACCGTATTTTTCAGACTATAAGACACACTTCTCCATCACAAAAAAAGTGGGTGGAAATGTTGGTGCGATTTATAGACCAAATATGGTATATAATCTCACAAATTTCATCAAAATCACATTTCACTACCAATAAACGAGAATATTTTTGGCCTCCTGAAACATCCCCACGCACGTTTTTGGCAAAAACTGGATGCACAGAGGGTTTGGGAGGCCTGCATAGTGCTCCTGGGGGCTGGGGAGGGCAAAAACCAGATGCACAGAAGCCAAAAATTTTTTCTTGTTTTCCTCTTTGAAATTTAGGTGCGTCTTATACTCCAGTGCATCTTATAGTCTGAAAAATACAGGTAATATACAGAGAAAAACTATAATAGTCCACTGTCTTCCCTAAAATGAAAACAGGCAAAATAAATCAATCCTCAACTTATGATTGCAGTTGAGCCCAAAATTTCTGAGTCATTTTTTCATTGAGTTTTGCCCCATTTTATGACTTTTCTTGCCTCAGTTGTTAAGTGAAGCACTGCAGTTGATAAGTTAATAACCCAGTGGTTAAGTAAAACTGGCTTCTTCATGGACTTGTTGTCAGTTGTCAGAATGTTGCAAGAAATGATCACATGATCTTAGATCTTAGATCACTGCAACTGTCATTAATATGCCTTGGTAGTACAGTGGTCTAAAGCACCCTGTTATTAAGACCAGCTGCCTGCAATTACTGCAGGTTTGAATCTCGCCAGGCTCAAGATTGACTCAGCCTTCCACCCTTTCTAAGGTAGGTAAATTGAGGACCCAGTTTGTGGGGGCAATAAGCTGACTTTGTATAAATATACAAAAAGGATGAAGGCTATTGCTTAGCACATTGTAAGCCGCCCTGAGTATTCGGAGAAGGGCGGCATATAAATCAAATTTAAAAAAAATTAACATGAAGCAATTACCAAGCATCTGAATTTTGATCACATGATCAAGGGGATTCTGCATAACTTTGAAAACTGGTCATAAGTCAGTTTTTTCAGTGCTGTTGTAACTTACAATGGTCACTAAACAAAGTGTTGTAACACGAGGACTACCTGTAATTCTTTCCATGTCTTCAAATAATCCATCCAAGCATCTATCAATCACCTATTCCTATACAAGAAATCTCACAAATTTCATCAAAATCACATTTCACTACCAATAAAGGAGAATATTTGTAGCTCAGGGTTGAATCATTTCAACCCTGAGCTACAAATATTCTCCTTATTGGCTCATCATATTTCAGCGAAACCAAGAAGAAATAGAAATCCAGACGATAAGCAGCTTTAGCTTCAAATTTATAATCTGGGTATAGTGGTAAAAAACAATCTCAGATATAAAGGCCGGACAAGGAATAATGGATGGAAGCAGATCAAGGAGAGATTCAACCTAGAAATAAGGAGAAATTTTCTGACACTGAGAACAATCCACTAATGCAGTGGTTCTCAATCTGTGGGTCAGGACCCCTTTGGGGGTCGAATGACCTTTCACAGGGGTCGCCTAAGACCATCAGAAAACACATATTTTCAATGGTCTTAGCAATAATATTATGGTTGGGGGTCACCACAACATGAGGAACTGTATTAAAGGGTCGCAGCATTAGGAAGGTTGAGAACCACTGCACTATTGGAACAGAAGTTGCCTTTGGAAGTTGTGGGAGCTTCATCAGTGGAAGTTTTCAAGAAGAGATTGGACTGCCATTTGTCAGAAATGGTGTAGGGCCTCCTGCTTGGGCTGGGAGGTGGGGGTTGGACAAGGTCCCTTCCAACTCTGTTAATCTGTATCTGTAAATGTTATCTTGAAAATTGCTATATTCTGTTATTGCCGATTGCAACTGGGAATGCTTAGAAATGCTAAATTAGGTTTGCAGTTAAAAAAATTGTACGAGCCGTATTTTGCCCTTCTGTGAGTGTTTTTTTAAAACGTTTTTTCAAATACACATTTATTGGGATTTTAAACAAAAAAGTTAAAAACTAACACCAAATGATCTTAAAAAAAGAATAACTGCAAAAAAGAAAAAAAAAGAAACAAGGTCAAACGTTTTACCTGCATTTTCAAGAAGACTCATTCTAATGTTATTCTGACAAAATTATGGGTATTTTTTTCTTTCAAATGTATGGAATTTCTAGTTCCAAAGATTTACTAAAGCTTTTCTCTGCATAAATGTCATTTTAAAAGCATACATATCTTGGAGATGAGCTTATACAATACCAGAAAAGTACTATTAAAGGTATTTTTCTTCTCCCCTTAATATCAGAATTTACAACACTTTGTTCCTTCATTCAATTTGTGTGATGGGCTACTGCTAATCATGTAATTCTCAAACAAATTCAGTATAGAGTGAGGTTGACCAAATCTGATTTATTTCTCACATTTCAATATTTGTCAGTCTTGATTCAACTCATCTCACAGACTTATTATTTTCTGTAAAACATATGTTGGATGGAGTATTCAGTATGTTTGAAGCCCTGAGTTTTATGTAAAAGGAACAGGTGGGATAATAAAATAGCCAGGACAAAACACAGACTTCTCTCCAGCCAATCTCTGCTTGAAGAAAAATACCAAAGCAGAAAAGTCAGCTTGGAGCGTATATGGATACCAGGAAAGGAGAAGAGGCATCAAGCTAAATTGCTAGAAAATTTCCACAATTTTTTCCTATTCAGATTATGACTCCCTTGTAGGAGTTTTTCTTAGTTAATTCATTGCATTTTCAATACTATTTCTAAAATAATCTGAGCAGCTTTCATTTCATATAAAATATATAAGGTAACAAGCTAATAAATATATATCAACATAAAAACCTAATATATGTCAGAATATTCATGACTGGGAAGACATGACAACAAGGTCAGCCAATGAATTGGCATAACCAATGAATTTGAAAGAGCCTGGTGGCGCAGCAGACTAAACTGCTGCTGTTAAAGTAGCACTTAGCTGCCAGCTGCCTGCAATTACTGCGAGTTCAATTCTCACCAGGCTCAAGGTTGATTCAGGCTTCCATCCTTTCCAGGTAGGTAAAATGAGGACCCGGTTTGTGGGGGCAATAAGCTGACTTTGTATAAAATAGAACACCACTTACGGGGGGCCAAAAAACCCTACTAAGCAGGTATATACAAAAGTATGAAGGCTTTTGCTTAATGCATTGTAAGCCACCATGAATCTCCAGAGAAGGGTGGCATATAAATCAAATAAATAAATAAATAAATCAAATGAATAAATAAATAAATAAATAAATAAATAAATAAATAAATAAATAAATAAATAGCAACTAAATCAGCCAATGGAACTGAAACCGTTTGGAGTCTGCACAGTTTGGAGTTAGCTCTGTGTGCTATGTTGAGAATTAAAACTGAAACTAGTCTGTCTGTTGTACTCTGCTTGTGATTTGTTTGTAAATGCTACCACGTTGGAAGAATCTGCTGTTGGTATTGTACATTTAATCATGTGTTATTATGTATATATATAAAAGTTAATGAATCCTGCAGAATCAGTTATCTGTGTGTGCGTTCTGGATTTGATTTTTGCAACAAACTCTGACAATATATATATATATATATATATATATATATATATATATATATATATATACACACACACACACACACACACACACACACACACATATTTCTATAGGTATCCCACCTCCAGAAGAACTAAAATCACCCCATTTCCACCACAGAAGAGCCAGGTGTGACTTCTCAACTTGATAAAATGAGGGGTAGAAAATGGGGCCAATGTATAAAATTTTCAATAGAGCTACTTGACATCTTGGAAACCAAAGAGGTTCTCTCATGTTAACAGCAACCATGCATTTCCCAAAATACCCTTATTCTCTCCATAGTATCAAAAAATTCCAATGCAATTATGGTACTATTTATTTGTTTATTTGTTTATTTATTTTCAAACATTTATACAGCTAACTATCTTCTAACCAACTCTAGATGGTGGTTCCCAATCAAAAGTTAAAACAACCTATAAAATAATACTTAAACTATAAAAAAAATAAATCAAAATATTAAAAACTACAAATACCCAGCCAGCTAATCTGACCCAGCACTTGGTGGAAAAGCCAGGTCTTCAAAGCTGCATGGAAGGCTAGGATGGAAGAAGTCTGCCAAAGATTAGGGGCAGAGTGTTTCATAAGGCAAGCCTGTAATGGAACAGGCACACTTCCTTAAAGGGACAGCTTCAATTACATATTCCTGGCTTTCTTCAATATTTCAGATCACCCCTAAGATTACTCACGATCACCAGAAAAATGCCAAAAAATTACAGTATAGGATTTCACTATTTAACTGTTCTACAGCTCGGATAAAGCCTTAGAAATTGATTATATATGTTACATATATAAAGAAAAGAAATAGCATTGAATTGCATGATGAAGTTTGCGAGCTTGAATATTTGGACTTTTCCCATGAATGTTTTTGGTAACCAGGTAAAGGCTGAATTACAGAATTATTCATTGTTAATCTGTCCTCCTGGTTAGATGCTGTTTGGTGTTCAGATGTGGGTTCAGGAGAATGATGTAGCATTTGGGCAGGAAGATGCAACCCAGGAGACCTGCAGTAGAGCCCAAGATGGAGAAGATCTCCACAGCCACCATGTATTTCCCTTGGTGCTCAGATAGGCTGGGATGAAGGACACCCAAATGCTACAGAACACAAGCATGCTGAAGGTGATCAGCTTGGCTTCATTAAAAGTATCAGGCAGTTTTCTGGCAAAGAAAGCCACAGTGAAACTGATGGTGGCCAGGAGCCCCAAGTAGCCCAGGACAATGTAAAACATGGCATCTGAGCCTTCATTACATTGAACAATGATTTCTTGAACCTGTGAATGCATGTCCCACTCAGGGAAGGGAGGAGACATGATCAACCATATCATGCAGATAATAGCTTGAATACATGAGCAGAAGACAATGATGGATCCTGCCAGTCTGTTTCCTAGCCATTTCCTCATCTGGTTTCCTGGCTTAGTGGCCAGGAAGGCCAAAACAACCGTGATGGTCTTGGCCAAGACACAAGAAACCGAGAGAGAGAAAATGGTGCCAAACATAATTTGCCTGAGAAAGCAAGTCACCTTCCCAGGCCAACCTATGAAGAGCAGAGAGCACAGAAAACAAAGCAGGAGAGAGGAAAGAAGGATGCATGTGATGTTCCTGTTGTTGGCTTTGACAATGGGGGTGTCCCAGTGCAGAATGAAGGCCAGTGCCACCAAAATGACAACTAATGAAAAGAAAAGGATCAAGGAAATCAAAACGATTCCCAAGGGTTCACCATAGGATAAATAGCTGAAACGTTTGGGAAGGCATTGGATCTTTTCTTCATTCGAATACTGATCCGCTGGGCATCTCTCACATTGGTTAGCATCTGAAATACATGAAGAAGAACAAGTCACTTCCAACTATATAGGACAATCTATAGAGCTAATTGAGAGAGATCATTGCTGGGGATGCCATTCACAAACCCCTTGACATATAATAATGCTTTCTTAAAAAGTGTACGGATTCTGGTCTGTTATTTATTCATATATATTCCTTTGAACTGCACTATTAGTGGTGAAGGACTCTGAAGAGAATTGCAACTCTCAACTAAGAAAAGAAATCAGAATAGAATGGATTTAGAAAAGTGTTTAAATTAGACCCATCTTTGAAAAAGAAATCTACCAAAGGTTACCCCAATTCCATTCCTCTAAATAGCATATCAGAGATGGAACGAATGAAGAAAAGATGAGTTTGGAAGCTCTCAACTCTTAGCTGTCACTTTTTTTTACTTACCTGTTTCAATTGAAATTCTTCCTTCAGAACATTGTCTACAATTGTAGCAACAAATATGTTTTCCCTCCTGAACAACTCTGCTGTAACCCTGACGGCAGCTCTCTACACATCTGGCATGGGGAGGTACCTGAAAGAAAAATGGAAAGGTTTAGGAATGAGATTCATCAAGATGTTGTGCAAGTCCTCCTTTTTATTAGGAGAACTGGGTACTTTCAGGGACATGCATAATCTTCTGATGTCAACATGTCCCAAGATGCTTTCGGAGAGTGTCCATATTTATATTAAATCATTCTATTCCTAGGATGCATGCTGAGTTTTCTGCAAACACGTCAATTCTCATTTGTTCTTGTAGAACAAGAAAAGGAGATAGTTGAGTGCATGGGAGTCTCTGGTGGAGGATATCTAAAATGTTTCAATCCTACTAGAAATCAGATCAGATCAGAGAGGTTTTAAACCTGCAATCTAGAACAAAACAAAGGATTTCATTCTGTAGGAAATGTCATCCATTTTCATTTTGTAGGATTAAAATACCCTTGGTGTTCCTTTTTATCTGCCAGGACCCAAAATCAATAAAGACATATGGACTTACTTCTGAGCAGTCCTCACCTGTAGATAGAAATCTTAACAAAATAAAGGACTTGTTTAGCATCACTATAGATATCAATCAAAGCTTCCATATTCAACTGCGACTTTGTCTTCTGGAAAAAACACCTCCTTTCTGGGAGTCCTGACTAAATTCCATCAAGTATCATTTGTATGTAGAGATTTCTCTAAAAGGGGCTCCATAGGAGTGCAGCCATCTATAATAAACCTTTTGTCCTTTCAGAAAGTATCCTCTTTTTACTCCATTCGTAACAGCAATACCCAATATTAAATATTAAATTGGGAAAATGCAAATTTCTGTTCATTACAAAAAATGCATATCTATTGTTTTTTAAGAAATTAGTAGCCTGTCGAGCAAACTAAATCAAACAAAAGGACACATGCATAAATATTCTTATTTCATATTAATTTCAAAATGCAACTCAGTTCCATAACGGAGTTGGAAGGGACCTTGGAGGTCTTCTACTCCAACCCCGTGCTCAAGCAGGAAAACTTATCCCATTTTAGAGAAATGGCTGTGCCATATTTGCTTAAAACCTCCAGTGTTGGAGCACTCACAACTTCTGGAGGCAAGTTGTTACAAAGATTAATTGTTCTAATTGTCAGGAAATTTCTTCTTAGTGTAGGCTGCCTCTCTCCATCCTTAGTTTACATCCATAGCTTCTTGTTCTGCCTTCAGTTACTTTGGAGAACAGGTTGACCCTCTCTTCTTTGTCAAGGCTTCTTAGATTTTGGAACACTGCTACCATATCACCCTTCATCCTTCTTTTTACTAAGACATATCCAGTTCCTGCAACCATTCTTCATATGTTTTAGCCTTCTTTCCCTAATCATTTTTGTTGCTCTTCTCGGTATGTAGAGGTCTTCATAAAGACCATCCCAAAAAGCTAGCTTAACCACAAGATTCCAGAATACCATCACCATCCTTCACTTCTGGAATTTCAGGTCATTGGAGAAGAATATCTTCACCTCCAAATAATAGTCTACCAAGTTTGAGTATGCCAAATATCCCACCTGCTGAAACTTGTGATTCCATACAATGGCACTTTCATTAATGGTGAACTTCTTCCCATCAAGAGGTTTGGAGACCATCTTTCCGATATGGACTCTCTGGAAGGATTGATTGTGGAAGGAGACAAAGTTGAAGATGTCGTATCCCGGGTCAAACTCCCCTTTCTCATCAAAAAAAAATTCTTCTCCCACACTGTTATTAAAACGGGTGTTTTTCAGAAAGTAGTGAAGCTGTATTTGAGAGAGTGGAGAAGTCAGATCAGTTATCCAAATCTTCCCCAAAGTTTGGCTTTGTTCAGAATCCCAACACAGTTTCTTTAGTGAATCTCATCAGAATTGCTTTCTGGTTTGATTTAGAAATCTCTTCAACCCATGCACCACAGCCAATTTTAAATTACAGTAATATCAGTTCCAACAATTTCCTAATATTTATTGATTCTACTGGAATATATTAACAGATAAAATTAAGATTCATGGCATTCATGGTATTGCTGATTTCCTTCCCATCCCCTTCAGGGCTTCCATACATGTATCTGAGAAAAGCAATGACACACCTCCCATGGCTGAAAATGCCTAAGATTTGATCCATCCTGATTTCTCAGAGGAGCTGGCTTTGCTCTTTTTGAATGCATTGCTTGCATGATATGTGCTGCAAGATAAACCCCATTGTAGGTATTGTAGCTCTCTCCAGACATGGTCATTTCAAACACAGAGCCAGAGACTTTCTTGAGTTTTTCCCTCCCAGTGCAGCGTTTAACTCCTTTCTCATATGGAGGCAGTGAACAAAGAAACACAGACTCCCAGAACCAACTAAGATGACGAAAGGGATGCAGAAAAGGTTTTATTCTCTCAAGAAACTCCTGAAATCCTGGCACAGTCCTTGTATGGAGTGAGAAGTATAGGGAGCCGTTGAAAGTCTGAACTAGGAGGCTCCCTTTTAATGATAAAATTACACTGAAATCCCACTGGTAGGTCATGATCCATACTCTGTGATCTATTGGGTTCCTTTGGTAAACTTCACGAGAATAAAGCGCCCATTGTAAAATCTCCATAGATTGGACAGTCCCAGAAGCAAGGAATACAGTGACATTCTTCTGTAAGATAATGTCTAATATTTTGTCTCTGCGTTCTTGAAAGAGATCTTTATTTAAGAGTGCATCTCTTAAAATGGGGATCAATGCTATCCAAGCAATGCAAATATCACTCTGGAAGAGCCTTGGTTGGAGATGTTGAAAAAAAACTTTCCCCCTCTCATCCTCTGAGACCAAGAGGCCAATCCAGTTCCATCCAAAATGTTTTAGTAAATGAACAATCCCTTCGTATTGCAAATTTTCATTGGGAACCATGCTAAAGAAGGAAGGGAACTGCCTTTTGTCACTCAGGACTGGGTCAAAGGAACCATAATTGAGCTGTTGGGAAAAATGATGCATAGAAAATTAAATTGAGGGTGGTTTTGTGATCCATGAAGAGCACAGAGCTTTTCCATTCTCCATAGAATAATGGATTTTACTGTGACATTATGACTTTATTGTAACATCCTAAAAGTTGCCATCAAGTGTTACATGTAAGGAGATCATAAGCTTCATGATAGTAGATTCTGGGAACTCAGAACTGGGAAATGATAGCCTGGTTAAAATTGAAAGAAGCTAGTGAAGGAAGACTGCCCTCCCCAGATAGAAGAAGAAACCGTGAGGCAGCAAATAATCCAAACACAATTCAAATAATTAAATCACAACCATTTACACAAGGAAAGAAAAGCCCTGTCTAGCTCATTGTCAGAGCTCACACCCCAGGCAAGCTCAAGTATAAACACTTGAGATAAGCCTAGCTACAAAAAATTCAATTAGCGTTAGTATGTAGCAAAAGAGCAAACACAGTAGCTATTGCTTGTTAGACCAATTACCAGAAGAAATAGACACAGGAATTAGATTTCTCAACCCTGCTTCCTTTCAGGAACAGAGATTAACCTCCTTCCTTCCAAACAAATAGGGAAAATTGTCCCATCAATAAACACAGGTTTAAACATCACCAAGCACAACTTAAATGGAACCAAAAACCAATTTTTGACCCAAACTCTAGCTAGCCAAGAAGCCTTGCTGCATGTCACTCATCTTAGTTCCTTGTCATTAAAAGCTTCTTTCCTGCAGCTCTGCTTCATTATTCAATTATTTCTTCAAAGTGCATCCTGGCGGGAAGAATCCTAACGGGGAGCATTTTCCTCCCAACACTAAGGTTTATTAAAAAAAATGAGTTTTTCTTTTAACAAGATGAGCTATGGAAAATGGTCACACCTGTGGAAACTTGTAGATGTTCAACATGTGGGCCATCTGGATGGAATTGAGGGAGGTGAGGTCACCAAGGATAGGCAAGAAGTTCAGATTCCTTCTTCTGACACAGTTGAAGTTGATAGGACTCCCTTGATTGAGAAACAGAATATATAAAACATGCTTAC